TGAGTGCCATAGATCGTGGTGCGCGTTGAAGTCACCTACTACCATTCAGGTGTCACCTCTGAGTAGCGCACCTATGTCAGGCTGATATCCTGCCGGGCAGCAGGTGACAGGGGGTATATAAACGTTGAATATTTCGAGCTCGACATCGCCTGACCGGACAGCTATGCCCTGACATTCTAGGGTGGTGTCCCTCGGGTCGATGTCTTCTTCGATAAGCCGATACTGCACTGTGTGGTGTAAGATGAACGCAAGTCCGCCACCATTATCTCGCTCGCGATATTTACAGAACTCATTGTAGGCGGCGCAACCCAATAGAGTTGAGTTGCTGTGCAACTTCGTTTCTTGGACCGCAGCTATCAATATGCCATGCCGACCCATAAAGACTACTAACACCTCAATCTTACTCTGGAGTCCGTTGCAGTTGAGTTGTAGGAGATTCGTATGCCTTGGGAGGCTGGTCGCGATACGGGGGGTGAGCGAGGAGTGAGGTCTACCTTGGGCCTGTTGCATCTGACGCGCTTGCGGTTGCTGCCTGTTGGTAGGTGGCTGCAAAGAGGGCGCTGTGAGGATGCTGATTGTGCCGTTTGGCTTGAGCAGCAGGGATCCACATAGCTTGTGGTCCACTCCCGGTGAGACCTAAGACCAGAGCAGGTTCTTAGGTGACTCTATCCGTTGCATGAGTTGCACCTAACCGAAGTGGAGTTTGGATGGAGTCGATTCTGGCAAACACAGCAGAAATACGTTTCTGGTCCGGGGTTGGGCTCTACGCCCGCCCGGAGAAGAAGGATGCGGAGCAATCCGGCTGTACGGAGTTGCTCCATGGACGAACAATGATTGAGGGGTATCGCCGATCTAAGCGGGGTAAGGTCGCCGAAACAACAGCCCTTGGTCGGGTAAAACCCGAGTCATTCCGGTACGTAGAACCGGCTGTCTTGGGAATGAACGTTTCTTTGTCTTTGTCCCAAGTACTGCAGGCTAGCGATTTGAGGACCTTGTTGCGGCTCTGTACTCAGTTGACAATAGCGGTTGTGTGCGCAGAGGAGAGCAGACTGTCGAATGGTACTCCGAGTATTTTGGGATTATTAACCGTCAGAATTGGTGTGTCATCGACGTGAATTCCCAGCGGTAGCCTGACCTCCTTCGTCCAGGTGGTGAACAAGGTCGCAGAGTATTTCGTAGGGGAGAGGGCTAGACACTTTGCAGTGCAGAAGCGAGAAAGATCGGAGAGATACCCGTTTACTTTCGAACACAGGTCATCAATTCCATTCCCAGTCGCCATGATCGAGCAATCGCCGGCGTAAGAGACAATCGAGACTCCCTCTGGTGGTTGAGGGAGCTTTGAAATATAAAAGTTGAACAGTAGCGGGGAAAGGACACCACCCTGTGGAACCCCCTGTTTGATTTTCCTAAGTTTGCTCGATTTGTCTCTGAACATTACCGACGAGTGTCGACCACTCAGATAATTTACCGACCACCGTTTGAGCCTCTGTGGGAGTGAGGAAGCCTCTATATCTTCTAGTAGCGTGGAATGGCTGACGGTGTCAAAGGCCTTTGACAGGTCCAACGCTACTAGAATTGTTCTCTCACAGGGACGGTTACGGTTAAGGCCACGAGTTATCTGAGTGTTTATGGCGTTAAGTGCTGATGTTATACTGTGCACTTTACGGAAACCATGCTGATGCTTCGCTGGGGTCGGGTGGTTCGTGAAATACGGAAGCAGCAAGGCCTCTAGTGTCTTCGGTACCGGGGAAAGGAGTGTTATCGGTCGATACGAATCTCCTTAGTTTGCTGGTTTCCCAGGTTTGAGCAGTGGGACCACTCTCCCCACCTTTCAGATGTCTGGGATGATGAGAGTGGCCATAGACAAGTTGAGGACCTCCGTTAGCTACGCTACTCCCGCATGACCCAAATTTTTCAGCATCAACATACATATTCCGTCGGCACCCATGGCTTTGGAGGCTTTCGCCTTCCCGATGGCCACCTGAACTTCACCGCAAGTGAAAGCAAGTGGGGCACAAGTTGTTGGCAGTTTGTGCAGCCTTCTGGTCACTCGACGCTTGGCTTTGTCCACCGGAGGATGCAGTATGAACTGCCGGCTAAAATAGCTCGCGCATCGCTCCCGGTCCGATGAAGCATGGTCGCCGAAAGAAATTTCGACTCTGTCGTTATGCTTCATCGGATTGGACAGTGACCTCACGGTTGACCAAGCTTACCCACGAACGACGTGGTCCACTGCCGGTGTGTCCGTAGTCCTGAGCAGACCCTGAGGTGACTCCACCCCTCGCAAGCATTACACTTGACTGAGGTGGAGTTGTGGTGTAGTTGTCTCTGGGATACACAACAGGTAAAGATTTCTGGCCCTGGGTTTGACTCGATGCCAGCCCTGAGCAGAAGAATACGTAGCAAATGGAGCCCTATGGAGGAACAGCTTCTGAGACACTTCGCCGACCTAAACGGGGTTAGATCGCCGAAACAACAGCCCTTGGTCGGGTAAAACCCGAGTCATTCCGGTACGTAGAACCGGCTGTCGTGGGAATGCGAAAGCGCATGTCTAGATCAGTGGTGCACACGGGAGTCTCCGGGAGCTACTCGGCTTTCACATACAAGTCGTGTGTGCGCAGCTACCGAACATACTACTTATGCGTCTGTACTTCATGCTGTAAGCATCACATGCGCGAACTGTTTTGCTGAGTACACACATACAGATACAAAAATATTGCGCTTGTTTTGGGAGCTCTGCCAACGCTGTGCACCACTGATCTAGACCAGTGGTGCACAGCGTTGGCAGAGCTCCCAATACA